TGACTGGATTTGTTTAGTTCATGTTTATGTCGACGATTTGGTGGTGGTTTCTGGTGATGTGGATCGATTCAAAGCATTGATAAATGATCGCTATTTAATGGAAGATCTCGGTCCGATTAGTTCTCTCCTCGGCATGAAGATTTCCCACAAAAACGATCACTTAACTCTTTCTCAAGCTCATTACATCACTGAAATTCTTACTGAGTATGACTTCAAAGAATGCCGCCCGGTTTCAACCCCTATGACTCCAAATACTCTGCTGGTTAAGGCTACTGAAGCTGAAATTGACGAATTCAAATCTCTCAACATCAACTATCGAAGAGCTGTCGGTTTGGTTAATTGGGCTGCGGTGGCTACTCGTCCCGACATTGCGTTTACCGTATCGCAATTAAGTCAACATCTCGAAAATCCAGGGATAGTACATTGGCGTGCTTTTACGCATTTGTTAAGATATCTCTCGAAGACGGTGGATTTTTGTTTACCGATTGGTGGTGGTGAAAACTCAATCTCTGTATATATCGATGCCGACTATGCCAATTGTGTCGAGACCAGACGTTCCTACTCTGGTTATGTGGTTCGCTGGGGCAACTCAATCATCTCTTGGCGAACTAAAAAGCAAGACACTGTATCAACTTCTACGGCTGAAGCTGAATATAAAGCTTTATACGACGGAATTCAGGAGGCTATCTGTCTTCGATCGCTTTTGTCTGCACTCGACTTGCCTCTCTATCCTATCCCGGTTTACGTCGACAATCAAGCTGCGATTGCTTTATCTCGCAACCCTCTCTTCCAACAAAGAACCAAGCATATCGATGTTAAGTTTCACTTCAACAGAGAAGCTGTCGATTCGCATCAAGTTGTCGTTCGTTACGTTTCCACCAATGAAAATCAAGCTGACGGTTTAACCAAGTCTCTCACCGCTCCTCGTCATCAATTCTTTTTCAATTATCTCAAAGTCAAGCTTCAACAATTTATGCAGCTTTAAGAGATTAAGGAATGAGGGGGGGTATTGAACTATTTGTTCTAATGATGTCATTCTTATCCTTTAAGCATATTCATGATTCCTTACACACACAAAAGTACCGGTTGAGTTGTTGAAACCTAATTGATCTTGAAGTTCTCTGAGTTCGCTCGCATGTACCGTTCTCTCTCTTTTCTCTTCTTCAATCAAATTGTTTCTTCAAACTCGGTTCGCTAAAAGATCAAACCTATCTTTACAGGTTAGTTATCATTTTCATTCAACCTTTGTTAACCTTTCTTACAACTCTTTTATCATTTCCTTAGGTTTGCTCTTTTGTTCATCATCGGTCATATCAATCATCCTTGTGATCTGATATCACCTTATTCTCAAAGGTGTGTATAAGAAATCAATCAAATTGTTTCTTCAAACTCGGTTCGCTAAAAGATCAAACCTATCTTTACAGGTTTGCTCTTTTGTTCATCATCGGTCATATCAATCATCCTTGTGATCTGATATCACCTTATTCTCAAAGGTTTGCTCTTTTGTTCATCATCGGTCATATCAATCATCCTTGTGATCTGATATCACCTTATTCTCAAAGTCCGTTGTTCAATAGTCCTGTGTCTACAAGGACGGTTGGAGGAATCACCCCAACCTCAAGGCAAAGTATCAAGGTTGGAAGAATCTCTCTTAAACCTTGATATAACAATTCAAGCTAAAAATAAATGACCAGAGGACAATAAAAATTAAGTATTAGAACCAAAATATAGGAATCAAGGTGAGGGAGTTTTGGCCCATCCTGAACACTCAAAAGAGGATATTTCCAGAGTTGTTTGGGGAAAAAATCAAATTGAAACCTGTTTCATGATTATGATTTTGAAATTAATTCCCAATCTCAAATAAATTTTTGGAAACCTATCTCTTATGGTCTTTTCAGCTTCTTCATGATCAAAACTTGTTTTAGAAGGGTTTAACTTGCTTTACAGAGGGTTGTATTTTTCTTTGGGGGGGGGGGGACTCAAATATTGTTTTACCACTGCTTTACAGATATTTCAAGCTTGCTTCATGATGTGTACTGCTACTCCAAAAATGCTACACTGGGGCAGACAGGGGGCAGCAGATTTTGTTTTTGCTATTTTAGCAGTTTTGATTCTGTTTGTTCCTTCTTCTTCAATCTCTATTGAGATTAGAACACTATAGTATATGATACCCAAATGATTTTCTTATCTATCTTCATCAATCTATGGGCCATCTCAATATATGCAATTTCCATTGGGAAAATCAAATATGCAATTGACACCAATGGAGCTAAAGGAAGGGTTGGTCTACAGTATGGTATGTAGTGCTCTGGTCCAAATATATCCCATATTAATGGCCTCAATCGTTTTTCTGATAACCCTCTGTATTAACAACAAAAACATCATAGCATTAGATATTGATTTGGAGGACAAAGAATTGGCTGAGTTTGGTGAATCCCTGTCAGTAGAATTTTGTTTTTGGTATTCCTGGGAAGATAGACAACTACACATTTTCAATTTTTTTTTTTTTTGCTAATTCAAAATTCCAATTTCATGAGAAAAGAAACCAGTCAAATTTGCATCTAGTCAGAAAATGGTGTGTATTTTCCCAGTTTAGTTCCTCACTTTGCATGTAACAGAATATCTAATTGATGATGTATTCTCACTATAAAGTCCCAAAGCAATCCTGCCCTACTTCTCATGTAAGTTGTCTTGTGGTGTCAACATAGGAATGACTGGCAGGTCTTGATTGGAGATTAATTTTCAACTTGCAACATCCTTTTTTTCAAACTTTGTAAAAAGGTTAGTTAGATTTTTAGCTTAAAAAATCCCTGAAATTTGTTGCCTGCTTTCTTGATACTAATTAGTCTGATATTTTAAGCTTCAAGGATAAGAAGAAATCAAATCTTGAATACGGGTGAGCTATCATTTCTGTGTTTATTAAATTACAAGTCTTCAGCTGAGAATCAGGTGATTTGAATTACTAGGAAAGTTAAAATTCATCAAAAAACAATCAGAAGAGATTACTGTTTTTCATAAGAATCTCCAGCAAGAGTTTCAAAGAGGAACCCTCAAATCAATAAAAAACAACCAGCAAGAGTTTAAAAATGAGAATGAAATAATTGAAAACTTTCAAACCTTTCTTGGAGACATGAAGAAGTGGGAATTATTCAAGATTTTTCATCAATCAGACCCAAATATTGAATTATTAAATTTTGATATGCTTGAGTTGATTGGAAAAAAATTACCCATGCCTCCTTTAGAAAAACTTGAAAGAATAATTCCTTATTACAATTACATGTTCAATTCACATTCAAAAGAAGAAGACCAAGATTCAAGTATCAGTGTAGCAGCCTCACATTATGTACTTAAAATAGTTGATTTCCTTCATCAGAAACATTTGATTGACCAAGGATCATTGCATATGGTTTATCAAGAGGAGGAGATGGTGAAGAAGTTGGTCCAATATAGTATTTCACGTTTCAGGGGTGATGGGGTGTTGAAATATTTGGAGATACCATTTTACTTTACTGAACATTGGTATTGGCCGTACCTGTGGGAATCATTCCAAGGTGATATTTTTCTTTTTGAAACTCTTATGCATGTGAATTTTACTTACCTTTTAATTTTTCATCTTTTTCAAAAAATGTAGCTCCAAACAGGAAAGAAGAAAACATTTTTGAAATTGAATTCATAATTGAAACCATGAAGTTCCATGCTAGTCACTGCGGGGACTTGCAAAGAAATCACATGTTCAAATCATTTTTCAACTCTTTTTCAAGTGGGAAATACATCAAAAAATTGCAAGTTGGTGGTGGATCAAACCCTTCAAGGTTATTTACAAGTACCTCACATCAAGTTAGGCAAGTAGAATCAAATGATGACAATAATTTCAAGAATGAAATTGAAAAAATCATGGAGATACAAAAACTGATCCTTGAACAGATAGAATATGATTCACATGAAGTGAAACTGAATACAGCCATTTTTGAATTCTTGAATTTTGTTGAAGGAGAAATGTTTCCAGGAATCACAAGGAAAATACTCCAAAATTCTCCACAAGATTCTGAAAGATTTCAAGATATGCTTAGGCTTCAGACGCTTGGATATCAGTTCAGTAATCTAAGAGAGTTGGCATGCAACTATCATTCTTTCACACATTATAAAAAGGCCCATTTCAGGAGTAAGGCAATCTTTGATAGAAGAATTTGTCTCAAATATAAAGACAGGATGCTTGAAATATGGGATGAATTCCTGGATAAATATAAAGAAGTATCAGCAAAGAATGATAATTACTTAGATAGCACCTCAATGAGAATAGTCAAATTCTATATCAATAATGGCAATCTGATCATTGATTCACTTCATAAACAAATTGAAGGCAAGCAAAGTGAAACATTCAAATGAATTCCCTGGGTTTGTGGTTGGAGCTCAACTTGATTGCATCATTCCACTTCCACATTCTCTACTTGATACATGTTTCAATCCTCTATCTTTAGCTGCACTGTGCTATTTCATTTCTTCAAGCTGTGTAGAAAACTTGCTTGTGTAACTGTAGGTAAATATACACCATTCATCAACAGCCATCAATTGAAGTAATGTTTTCACCATTATTTGCACCTGGTGTTGGCAAGTTTGATGTGAGCTTCCTGACTTCAGGAATGTAGGTGACTGAGTTGGCAAATTTGGGGGTGCATTCCAGTATTCAAAAATTGGAAGCAGAGCTTGAACTTGAGGCGATTCTTATATCCAGGCTGTTTTTCGTAAATCATATATTTTCATCTTTTGTACAATTTTGAAGCAGATATAAGTTACAATGAGTGGTGAAATTGTTTGAAGATGAAGTATTCAAGCTTCCGTCATGTATGAACGAGTTGGGTAATGAGCAAAGGATAGTGGGATACAAACAATGGGGATATAAAACAAAACAATAAACAAGAACCGCCTGTAAACCCAAAAATATTGGACTCATGTCCCTCTCTCAATCTTGATATGTAAATCAAAGGGATAAAGGTGCGAGCTCAGACGACTTGTTTTTTAGTTTTTCTTCTGGTAGAGCGACACCTGGAGAGGTGTTTTTTAGCTTTGGAGGTCACAGTTTTCCGTTGAAGAGGGGCAGGATCAGAGACCTGGGTAGTATTGTAGAGCTGGTTGTCTGCCGCATCGGAGGCATCAAGGGTTGAGTTGTCGGCCACGGAAGTGGTTATGTCTGAGATGGCATTCAACAACGGTTTGGTGATGTCATGGATGGGGACGAGGGCTGCGCCTTTGGAAGCCTGATGAGTGTCGTGTTCTGTGGTAGCCTGCTTCGCCTGTTTTTCTGGCACATCAGAGCCAGGAGCAAGTATCGGGTTAGCGGCTGAAGTGGGGTCCACCAACCGTCTGTTCTCGGGGACAGGAACGGTGGAAGAGTGGTTCAACCCAGACGTATGGTTGCTTTCGTTGATTTGATTGTCTGCAACATCAGAAGCATCAAGGGTTGCGTTGTTTGAGCGGGCAGTGGTGTTTGCCAACTGTTCGTCTTGGGAGTCCGAAATACCGATGGCTGAGTTGTTGGCAGCGGAATCATCTGTGAATGAGTCAGTGGTGTTCCATTGCTGCTCGGTGGCATTGACGGCTTTATAGACTGGTTCATCAGAGACAACCGTGCTGGTACTGAGAGGGCTGTCATCGTCTTGTTTCTTCTTCTCGTCAGCAGCCTTGGGGGCTGATTTCATACTGTTCTCTTGGTTGCTTGCGGCATCAGAACTCTTGAGAGCTGGGCTTTCGTCAGTAGAACGTTCTGGGGACGAAATCGTGTTCTCGCCTTGGTTGCTTCCGGCATCAGGAGCCTCAGGTGCTGGGTTGTTGGCAGTCGATTGTTCAGCATCTGCAGAGCGGGATTTGGGCACATCATTTTGTTCCGTTTCCGATGTGTTTGAGTTCGAATGACTTGACGATGCCCATACGAGCCCATCGGTTTTCATCTGTATTATGACTTGTTTCGCGATCAGCCTGATCTGCTCATCGGATAAGTCTACAAAAGAAGGCCTGATTAGTGTTGAAGCTGAGGATTTGAACGGTGTCCTTTAAACATAAGAGTAAAATACAAACCAGTGGTATTCCCCTCGGCAATGCTTTCATTGACAACCGGACGAGCAACGACGGATGTGTCGTTTGAATCAGAAGATTCTGATATCACCAGATTGGGTTGGTCGGAGTCACTCAGTTTAACGGCAAAACATCCACCAAACCGTTTGTTTACGCCTACGAGTCAGAATAAACAATCATCAGTCATCCGCTAGAAATATTCTCTATTACTGAGACTAGCTTCGAGGCTTACCTGTGCGACATCTTACGATACATGCAGTTTGAGTCCAACCACCAGTACACTTGGCATCACTGAATTACACACCAAATCAGTGTTTGAGATCAAGGCTGAGCGAGAAAGAAGACAAGGGTAACGCACGCTGGGAAGTTCATGACCACAGTTGCGTTGGTACGTAGTGAGTTCTGGATGCCCGAGTTTCCAGCTTGATTGAGCGTCATGAACATTGGCTTCCATGAAGTGGTGGTTGCATCCTAAATGTAGAGATTTCCATAAGCACAAGCTGCAAGATTGGTCAAGAGATGGAGGATGATTAAGAAGCTCACCTCGCTGTATTCACAACTCATGGGACCTCCACCATCGCGATTGACTTGGAAAGCTTCAACCACCACGGACATGTTGGCGTACGCTGCGGGAAGACCGTCGCCTTCGGCTTGGCCCATCCAGGCTCCGAGATCAATGGGGCCCAGCTCGGGAGTGCTTCCGCATGCTGGCGAAGGATTGTCGGTCCCAGTCTCAAATACACCGGAGTCGCCACCAGCCTGTTGATATCAAACATCCCAAGTCAGCATTCATCTCGGCCTTGGTCATCTTGATGTAAACAAAATTTGCCTACATCACCAGGTTCACCCTTTGCACGGGGATATTTTCCATACAAGTTCTGTTGCGAAGGAAGTAAAAGATGAGTGAGTATGTGTCGTAAGATGTGCGAGCCAGTCGACAAAAGTTCACTGACCACTCCAAAGCCATGTCCTACCACATTGTTTGATCCGTAAATGTTGATCAAACTAAGATGAGCTGATGTATGAGCAATCAGGGCCAAGCCTACGAGGGTGGAAGCTAGAGAAGGCATTGGAGATGATAGATAAAGACCGCGCGAAAGTGTTTTCAAATTTGTTTTTCGAAGTAAGATGGTTTTTGAATGCTTGGTTGGAAGAAACTGGAGACAAGTAGGTCCAATGTATATATATATAGATAAAGAAGTTTTATTACCAACAGCCGCGGTAAAGATGAATGAACGTAATGGATTTGATAGTGAACCCCGGAAAGCAACAAGTTAGAACAGGTTGAGGAAGGGGAGTTTACACTAATGGGCCTTCCTAGAGCAGCTTATAAGGGATTCCAGACATGGACCGGGGAGGTGGTCGTTGCCATTATCAACAAGACTCAGCACTCATCAAACTGAAGGAGAAGACCCGGGCATGATGTTTTCAATTGAACTCGGACTAATTCTCAGTCTGGGCCAAAGTGAGTCAGTGGAAATATTCGGCCTGTATAGTCTTGGGGGAGAGTCCTGGGGCAGCGAAGAACTCAAGCCCGGTTCAGGTCATTAAGAAGGGGAACTCTTCTCTGGGCACAACTTGTGCATTGCGAAACTTCTAGCTGGTCCGGCGGGATCTTCCCAATTCCAGTATTTCGGTCTTAGATCAGCTGGAGCAGTCATCGACCACTTTTCCAGTTGAGCGATTTGCCCACTTGAAATTTGCATCACCCCTCCAGTATTATGACCTTCGAGCGTGTCGAGTAGTCCGTTGAGATAGCTAGCCATGGAAATTGTTCCATGTACCACACTTCTTCACATTTTGGAAACACAAATATCCCTGAATTGTGAGATGCTTGGGATGAGACTGAGCAGGCTTCTTGGTGGTGAATTGCTTGAGGTCTTCTGTTGACGCAGTGAGGGGCTTGGTCGCAGCAGGGGTGTCCGACGCGCTCGCGTGCCAAGATGCGGGCAGAAGTGGAATCGAGATGAGGAGAGGAGGACGGGACACCACTAGCGACTACATCATCCGATTCATTATAAGCTGACGACGACGACCACAGGGAGGAGCAACTAGGAGAAGGAACGCAGACTGATCGAATCAAAACTTGCGAAAGAAAGAAGAAATACGTGTTCAAAGCCCCTCGAGATTGAAAAGATGCCAACGAAAAAGACGAGGAACCTAGACCGGGCTAAGACGGCGCGAATGTCACAAAAGAAGAAGGAGCATTCTGCGGCACGATCGAGTCGAAAGACGGCTGTCCAGACGAGCAAAGCGGCGATAGCTGAGCAGGAAGAAGAAGAACAAGTCGAGCTAGATCCGTGGGAGCGAGCACGCAAGATCCTGCACGTGAGTTCGACGCCGTCATGGCTGCCATGCCGGGAAGAAGAGTTTGCGGAACTGGAGGCAGCATTGACGGAATCGATCGAAGAGGCCAGCGGATCTTGTCTCTACATCTCCGGCGTCCCTGGCACCGGAAAAACAGCCACCGTCCATAGCGTCATCAGCTCCTTGCAGAATAAAGCTCGCAACGGCGAACTCAATCCGTTCAAGTTCTTCGAAATTAATGGGATGAAAGTCACCGAACCCAGCCAAACTTTCATCCTCTTTTGGGAATTCATCGCTAAAAATCTCGTCGATCCTAACTCCCCTCCCAAACGTACTTCGGCTCGTGAAGCTCTGAAAAACCTTGAGAATTACTTCAATTCTCCTGAACCTGATAGAGAGACTTGGTATGAATGATTGAACTTGAAGAAAAAGAAGAGAAAAAAAAAACTATTATTATGCTAATGAACATGTTTTTCCTTCTTCTATTTTTTGTTGATCAACGAAAGCGTATTACTAGTAGATGAACTAGATCAGCTAGTCACACGGAAGCAGGAGGTGATCTACAACTTTTTCAACTGGCCGAACCAAGCGCACTCCAGATTGATAGTGATAGCGGTAGCGAACAAGATGGATTTACCGGAGACGGAGTTGAACGGGAAGATCCGGTCGCGACTGGGGTCGAACCGGATCCAATTCAAGCCATACAACCACCACCAACTGATGGAGATCCTGGAGATGCGACTGGAAGAATTGAAGGATGCGGTGTTTGTGAAGGACGCGATCCAATGGGTGTCCAAGAAGATCTCCTCGCTCACCGGCGACGTCCGCAAGGCTCTCGATCTCTGTCGTAGTACCTTGGAAAGAGTCGAGAAGGAGAACGAGATCCGGATGGAAAACGGCGAGGAAGCTCGCTTGGTTCAAGTCAAAGATGTCATCGATACTTATGAACAGATGATCTCCTCCGGGGTCTCCAGATTCATTAAAGAGTTGAGCCCGCATCAAAGTATCATGCTCCTATCGATTTCAAAGGCCATCAAAGTGGCCGGGATACCAGAGGTAGAATTAGGCGACGTCAGTCCTTTTTTCCTCTTTGTTTTTCATGTTTCATCCTCCGAGGGAAGAGAATAAGTGTGAGCTGATGGATTGGAATGAATGAATAGGTGATTTCTCGACACATCCGACTCGCGAATACCTTAGGATTCCAACCTGAGCCGTCGCATGAGGAGCTCATGACGGTGGTCTCTAGCTTGCAAAACATGAAACTGATCCTGAACGAATCGAGCTCGTTTGATTACTTCTCTAGAATCAAATTGGAGGTCACCGATTCCGACTTGCGATTGATCACTAAGAATGACAAGCGTTTTTCTAGTATCACTATCTGAGCTCGTTTATGTTCCATCTTCTTTATCCTTTCTTGATAACAGTTGCATCTTCTCATCATCTCTACCCCGCTATATCAACTTCTTCATTCCTATCTCCCTAGGATTGTCTTATAGTACAATAGAGTACATAGACTTCCATTTGTACATTATACAGATTCAATAATCATCGTTTTATTACCTATTTTTTATTTTTTGACTCCATGTAACCCTGGAACTTCTGCAGACAATTTCCTTTGCCAGTTTTCGCTTAATAATGTATTTATTCCTTGGTTATTTTTGTTTTGATTGAATTTTTTAATTCATGAAATGTCCTAGATCAGGCGTTTTTTTTTTCTCAGTCCCCAAGGATGAGAATCAGTCACTCATATTTCCTGAAACAATCAAACATGAGGTCTATGCGAGGAGTGATTTGCAATGACTGAGGACTATGTACTTAGGCCAAGGAAGGTGGGTGGTGTAGTCAAAAATCCAGGTGGCTGAACTTCCAGAGGCGGTCAAACCTTGGCGCGTCCAAGTTTCGCGCCGAGGAACTCCTGGGGCAATCTTCAGCAACTAACGACAGCCGCATCGAAACAACTTCAGCGAGCTCCCAGGATGGACGATGGCCAGTTACAGGTCCAGAAATGGATCAGACAACAGATCATCTTTGATCAAGCAACCGTACGCAATTCGCTGACTCTCATGAAATCTATCAAAAACAGCACTCTCCATGTTTCTAACGCATTCTTCCCCCCCGCTCGAATATGACAACTCCCATTAGATAACCTATCGAGACTTGGACCAGGAGGCATCGTGTGGGATCGACCGAGCTCGCCAACTGTTGGAGGAATTCTGTGTTTCGGAGGACGGCAAGCGTCTGAAGGTTGAACCGACCTATTTGATCTTCGGAACCAATAAGAAACTCGTGGGCGATTCGGTCAAAACTTCCAAGGTCGAAAGGGCTCGAGCTCGTGAACTTGAAGGTTTGTGTCTTATGTCTTCACTTTCCTTGGTCTGCTGGGGTCGACTCGGAGTTAAATATGTTTGTCTTGTCAAGCTACTTTCGATACCCCATAAAGCTTCATCGCTAGCCTGATTGCCTTCTCCTCTCTTTGTTAGCTTAAGTTGATTCCTTCCATCTTCCTTTTTGATTCAAAAAAAAGATTTGAAATCCAAATTTGACTCAGTCTCGTTTGTACAAATCTATAGCATCAGTGCTACCCAAGCTCCCGTAATTGATTTGATGAATTTGAAATCTGATAAATTGACCAGGAACTAACCAAAGTCTCAATTCACTTCGTTTGCTTCCAGGATCCAAACTTACTGAAGTCTTATACAGAGGCACGGATCAGCTTGAAACCCAAATCTAAAAACTCAACAGAATCTCAAAAGAAAGAGAGTCAAGTAAGGGTTCCCAAAATATCCCACATTCACAAAAGTAAAACTGGAATAATCAGCTGATTATCTTAATCAATTCAGGGTACAAGTTCAGAACCGAAAAAGGAATCGAAGAGCACAGGATCCAAGAAGAATGAAATTGAGGCAGTGAAAAAACCACTGATCGAGCGGACCCAATCCAAGCCGAACAGTAAGAAGAAAGACGATGTTGGTACGGTTGCCCCAAATAAACCAACCAGTTCCGAACCATCTCAGAATAAACCCATAGCTAAGAACCCACCGAAAACGGCGAAAGACAAGGGTCAGAAAGCCGAGACTGATGACGAGATTGTCGTCACCGTTCCCACTAAGCGCCCGGCTTCGGAGGTCGATCATCGGAAGAACTCGACTGATAAGAAATCAAGTACCGGTTTGTTTAGAGGGTTGAGCTTCTCTGATGAATCACTTTTCTCACCAATAATGACGAATGAATATTTCTTTAGGAGCCGAATCCTCAAAGACATCAACGAAGGAGCCGAGCAAGGAAAAAGAAGATCGGACTGATACGGACACGATTATGGTCGACGACGAAGGATCCAAAACAGCAGACCGAAAAAGAGTGACGAAGACGAGGATAGTCCAGAAGAAGAAGATCGTTCGGGTGAAGGACAAGAAGGGGTATCGAGTGAATCGGGAAGAGATCGAAGAAGTGGAGGAAACTTATACCGATTGGGAAAGCGCTGATGATCATTCTCCTGAATCCCAAAACAAGAAATCAAAGAAACCTAAGATCTCTCGGAATGCAAAGAAAGATGAGAAGGAGAAGATGATTAAGGAGAAGGAGTCAATGTCTACTACCACTGCTCCCTCTGTCGATCAATCCTCAGCTACTCAATCGGCATCTAATCCTTCTGCTGCTAAAAACTCGTCTTCTACTCATCAACCTTCTACTAAGAAAAAACCTCCAACAAGCAAACAATCTAAAGAACAATCTAATATAACAAGGTTAGTCTTTCTTTCTTTGTGGTCATTTTCAGTGGCATGTCTTTCACTCTCAAGCTCTTCCCAATTTTCCTCGTTTATAATCCCACTAACAAAAATAAGGAATGCTTTTTGGATGCTAATCACTTGCTCTCCTTTCTTCTTCTTCTTCTTCTTCTCTTATATTTCAAATCACTTTTTCTTCTTCTTCTGATATGTATCTGATGTCCACAAAGTTTTTTCAAAAAAGCATAGTGATCAATACAAAAAGTTCTCATTTGTTTGGCTTCTTTTGTGTTTGTTCACACATGTTTGAACTTTGAAGGGACCAAAGACACGTTTTTTATTGTACAGTCTGCTCACCAAAAAGATGGATCCAGCTTATAATGAATACGTCTGCTCTTGTGTGATGCAAATCTTGTCAATGTACCCTTCTATCATCATTACCCATATTTCTGCTAGAAAAACTGATTCATTTATGAAAATGCTTTTGACCAAGATGGCAGTTTCCTTGCAGATACTATGTTCCTATGGCACCTTAGCTCAAAAGATGCATGTGTCAGGGGCTCGGCAGGAAGCCTGGCTTGCAAGTTTGTCATTCGGGGAGGAGGCTTGAGTGGGGAAAACGACCGGTGCACATCTCGCTGATGTCCCTTTATTAGTGCGGCATCAGCAATACTCAGACAACTTTTGAGGGCGGTCAAACCATATTGCCCCTCAAGAACGCTTCGGATGTTGGGAGGTAGGTCGCGCTATAACCGGTCGGATTCAACCGTTTCTCAACAATCGGTTTGCGTGGTGGCGCGATCAATGTCCCCTGTAGGTTTCCATACATGCTTCAACTCTTTTATGTATTACCTAACTTTTCGTAAATCTTTTTGATCAGATGTACATATATGCCTGCATTCTGATAATCTCTTTTCCTGAAACTTATGTGGAAGGTCTCTGTGTATGAAACTCGGGGAATGGACCAGAACAGTAGAAGAATGGATAATTCATGGTGAAACCAACATAATTCACGATCAAGCCAAGTGAATTCCTTCGTGGCGCTTTCAAGATAAGAGTACTTGAAGCTCGGATTCCTGGACACTCAGAGCAGACCCAAAGCCGACCCATCCAATTCCGTTCACACTTGAGTGGGGATTTCAAGGTTTTCTTAAACATGAAGCTCTCGAAAATAATTGTAGCACTCTGCTTGCTGCAAGGCTATCACAGTATGGAGCGAGTTGATGAGGCTGCTCATACCCAGAGGGTTGCTGAGCAGTTGATCCCAGGCACCGCGTCAAAAGCCGGCAAAGGTGAATCAATTTCCTTCTCATCCATCTCTGCGCCTTTAGTTGGAATTCATTATCTTTAGTGACTGTGCACCTCTCGAAAATTTGGATCAACATTTGCCACTTGAATGATATAGCGGACCAAGTCGGACCGGCGGTTCGTCGAAAATCTCAAGAAGTTTCTACCCCTGGCCCTCAACTAGGTCAGCCCAAGCATGACTTCCTTTCTTCTTTTCTTGGAGTGCAGTGTCTGGTAATCGACAGGTGGCTATTAAAACCATGGTCGCCCATTTTACCTCACGCTCCAGTTTCTAGTTCGAACGGTGACCACGCCGTAATAAATGCCATCGACGATAGTTCCGATTTGCGCCCTTCGGACTTGGAGTCGAAAGGTCCTAAAGCCGATAGTAGGAGTCGCTTCTTCCCTTTCACCTTTCTCTTTATTCTCATACTCTTGAATCTACAAGGCCTGTGAATAACTGAGGGATTGTATTGGAACGATCTGCACAAATCGGTTTTCATTAGTCACAGCCGCTACAAGCAACCACGATCAGACAATAACTCATGTGAGCGGCGCGGACCAAGAAATTGGAGGCAGGTTTGCTATGCCATCTGATTGGAGAGGCATGCTGCGCCCTAGGATTCAGAAGATCAGGCAAATTGTCGCTAACAGTGAGCTCAGATCAAATCAATCTTCTGCAAACTGGGACCAATTAATATATTTACTCAATTTGAATTGGATCCCAGGTTGGCCAAACATTCAAATTCCTGAAGCAGAACGTTGGGATGCAGTAACATATATTTGTTTGTTTATGATTATCCCAACCCATTTCCTAGTGCGAAAAATGGTATCCGAAATGTAATACCAACCCACGAGTCGTTTTTTTTCTGCAAGTTCAAACAAGGCAGAATGGGAAAAAGTCGAAATACATGTAAATTTAAAATAGCTGTTTGCAAATGATATCATCTTATGCAAATCTTTACAGCTACAAAAGTAAGAAGACAAAAATACATAAAAAAACTATATATTGATCACTGATTTTTTTATTGGGTAGGAGAAGTTTGCAAAGTATGAATAAGCCTTACAAACGCTAGGGACTGCAAAAATACATGTAATGTGGCCAGGATTGAAATTTATGAGGTTGATCTGGCAAGCTTGGCCTTGTGGTTTGGAGCCTTGGAAATATTGCCTTGGGAAAACATCTCTGACAAGTCTCAATGTACAGTTTCCCATGACTGTATTTAGATCCTTTGGAGTGGTACTGCTCAATAAAACAGTGCGTCTGGTATGAATAGAAAATTGTGGGGTGTCATGTTACAAGGGCTCATCCATGTATTTGGGGAACATGGTCAAAATGCATGCTCATTGCTCAAGTTGTGGGTGAGAATTTTCCATCCCAAATGGCCAGATTTTTCTCTCCATCCCAATACCCTTCTTCTGCCCAGTATTGCCACTATCTCTGACTCCCATGCCTTGAAAATTTCACCTCAGGGGAGCAGAAAATACATTGGAAAAATTGGCCTCTGGCCGGTGGAGGGACAATTTTACTATGGATGATGCTTGCAACCTTGCAAAAAATCCCTGTAAATTAAGGAGATGCAGATACCTGGTACATGTCACGTACTGTTGTGTTGTCAATATCAAAAAAGTGGGATTCAAACATTTTTAAAACAGGTTTTTTGCATTTCTTGTCCGCTTATGGCTTGTAGTGACCAGAAAATACCAGTACATTATTTGCCTTGCAAGCGTACATGTGCCCATGCTTTCAGCTTTGAGCCCAAGTGGCTTGAAACATGTTGAAATTTTGGCTACTAACATTCACTAACCTCTTGGTGCACTCTCCTGGGTCCTTTCTGATCTGATCCAAGATAGACCCATCAAACCTTATTGATCCTGTTTTCTTGATTCTTCTGATCCTTATACTCTTGAAATCAATACATATTCTCAGAGGAACCCAGAGAGGGCGTCCAGAAAAAATGTATGAATTTTTCAAGCCACTTTGGCTCACAACCAGACATGATCTTCTTATGCTGAAAACATAGGCACATGTACACTTGCAAGGCAAATAATGTAATGGTATTTCCTAGTCACTAAAAGTAATCAGTTGGAGACAAAAGCAGGAGAACTGTTATGAAAATGTATGAATCCCATGGCTTTGATATTGATTATTGCTACCAACATCTGGACATACTCTCCAGGGTCCTATTCTCAGATCTTCAAATCTCAAATTTTACCCCACATCTTATCAAACTCAAACCAAATGGCCACCACAGAACTCAATTTCTGCTGTCTTCTCACAAAATCCCCCCCTTCACCTTTTCTTATTTTGATCACACCACTCAATGTTTCTGGGCCCCACAATGAGGGAAACTCATCAAGAACCTTCCTCTCAGGCAACCACCACCAGCCAGCACCATTGGAAGTACACACTGTTTGGGTCTTGAGGCTGTGGGGGGTTCCTCTCAGTCTTGAGACTGGGCAAGGTCTCAAGGACAAAAGGGATTCCCCTTGGCCTTGAGCCAGTTTCACATCCTTTGTGCCTAAGATTGGCACCTGCTGGTGGGCCCTTTTTCAAAAGTGGCACCAACAACACTAAAATGTAGGTCCTCCTTGATATTAAAACCATGTGCAATTGTGGAAAAGAGGAAATTCCAATTATGCATTGTTCTTCCTGGCAGAATCCCTGACATGCTTCAATTCTTATACACAACTCCTCATAGCTCTGTTTGATCAGGTGTTGCCTGCATTCTTATAATCTATTTTCCTGGAACTTTTGTGGAAGGCTCCTATGAAACTCGGGCCACTGAATAAATGCAGAAGGATCAATAATTCATTATGAAACAAGCAGAATTTCTTCTTGACACTTTCAAAATGATACTTAACCTTAGATTCCTGGTTTTCCATACGCAAAGATGACCCATCTAGTTCCGTTCACACTTGAGTGAAGACTTCAACGTATTCTCACAGATGAAGCTATCAAAAATAACCTTAGCACTCAGTTTGTTACAGGGCTATCGTAGCATGGAACGAGCTGATGAGGCTGCTCATACCCAAAGAGTGGCTGAGCAGTTGATGTCAGGAACAGCTCCAGTGACCAGTAAATCGGAATTCCTTTCCTTCTCATTCCTCTCTGCTTGAGATTGATGGGAGTACTTATCGTCAGTGACTGTCTGACTCTCGGACATTCTAATAAATTTTTGCCTTCTGAACAATCTAGCGACCCAAGTCGGACCGGTGGTCCATCGAGATTCTCAATCCATTTCTCCTCCCGGCACTCAATTAGGTTAGCCCCAGAAATAACTCTTTTTTTGTTTTGTAGTGAAGTGCCTGATAATCCCCAGGTGGCTAAAAGGACATGGTTCGTTATTTTACCCAACACTTCAGTGTCAAATTTGAATGGTGACCACCTCGCAATAAATGTCATCGACGATAGTGCCCCGTTGACTGGAAGCCCAGCCGATTTCCGCCCTTCGGGTTTGGAGGAAGGTGCTAGAGCCGAAATCCTTTCACGCCATAGTAGGTGTTGCCTCTTTTGTTTTGCCCCTGTTGATAACAGTGATTGTATTGCAACAATCTAAATTGGTTTCCGCTAGAAACAGGCAAAAGCAACCACAATCAGAGAAAAACTCAAGTGAGCGGCGCGAACCGAGGAATTGGCAGCCGGCCTACTGTCTCATCTAATGTTAAAGGCATGGTAAACCCTAGGATCCAGAGGATGGCGCAATATACCCCTGTTGGTGAGCACAAATCAAGCCAACATTCTGTAAACTGGGAACTATCACTGATGAGTTAATTTGAATTTGCTCCCAAGTTACGTTGAAGTTGATCCCAGGTCGGCCACCCATACAACTTACTGAACTGCAACTTTGGGATGCGCTCATAATTTTTCTATGGCTTATGATGATCCCACACCACTTCCTTGTGCGCAAAATGGCGTCTGGAATGTAAGATCAACCTATTACCTATGCCTATGGAGCATTTTGTTCCCTTCAATTTCCAAGATAAACGAGTGGAAAAGACAACACAAGTGAACAGTTGAAATTCATGTAAATAGCTGTTTGCCAATGGCAGATGAACTTCTCTCTTCAACTCTTTTTAATCAAATAAGTATGTAAGCAGAAGATAAAAAAAAATCTTTGAAACAAAAAAAAACTTTTTATTAAAATAAAACACAATGTTTCTTTGTTTGCAACAGTTTTTTTGTGAGCACAAATGAGGGACATCAGAAGAAGAAGTGTTTTTGAAGAATAATGGGTAGATTGTTGTTACTCAACCAACAACAATAAACCAAAATTGATTCTCAAATCATTTGAGCTGCCCATAAATTGAATCTATAAGGGGAAAGAAAGGTGCAAGAACATTTATCAAAATCCATTTGAACCCAACAGCTTCTGACTGTAGTAAGTCATTGGTTTTGTAAGAAATGATTAACAAGACGGGAAAGGAAATGCAAATCTTCTGTCTCAAAATATAGGGGTTCTGTTGACTTATGTGTTGAAAGAAAGTGTGAGCTGAGTGAAAATTGTTCAAGCTTGTCTAAGAAATTAGCATATTGTATGGCTTCTAACAAATCATCAGGCTTGATTATGGGATTGGTATCAATACTTTTCATTAGATGCTTGAATGAATTTTCAAGAATGGGTTCATTGGGATGACTTGAGCTGATGTAAAACTTAATAATTTGGAAAATTATTTGTTGCGTTTCATCAAGCCCGTTCATCAAGTTCTCAAATCTTTGATGATAATCATTGGTTGTTTCCATCATTTCTGAAGGCAGTTTCCTTTCTGCAGCTCTGTTGAAATGATTGGATTTTGAAAACATTTCCTTTTGTAGTTCTGTTAGAGTTGATCCAAAAGCCTTGCTGCTGGTTAGTTTAGAAAATCCATGGTCATCTTGTTTTTTTGAAATGGGTCTGGCTCCCTGTACGTATTTGCATAAATCTGCATGAGCTTTATTCTTTCCTTTCAACTCCTCCACCAAAACTTTGAATTCTTCCAGAGCAGAATGCTCTCCTATAAATGTTGAGTCCTGACTATTGAGTGAAATTTCTTGAATATCCCCATTCCTTTCATCCAGGTATTTGTAGAATTCTCCTACTTGTGTTTCCAATATTTCATGGAGACCTTGATCTTGAGTTGATTTTGATTTTGAAGCACCTAATTGGTCTGGGAAATTTACTTGAAGTTTTTTTTATTATAAATTTTGCAAATAAGATTTAGTAGATTAAAATTTTGCATCTACTATCAAGAAACAGAAATTCAAGCTAATTCAGCTCACAATTTGGTGCAGGACTAGTTCTATCATCCTGAACCTCAGATGCAGATGCTCCTAAGTGATTGGCCCCATCAGAGTCTACATTTTTGATGTTTTCACTCCCTACAAAATGGTGATAAACAGCTGTACTTAGTATTTCAAAAAAGTAACAAGTGAACAGATCCCTGACTCTGCCATACTGGATAAAAAAAATGGCATTTCCATACATACCATCTAATTTTTCAGCTACAAAGTGAGAAAAAAAAATCAAAACATCAATGTTCAGAAGGAAAACTGTTTTGATTCTGGATCTTTCAATTTTCAATAAATGAAATAGGTGAAAGATTGACCAACATTCCAGGATCAATTTTCCTTCCCCTTCATGATGAGGGGCCCTTGGGGTAGGGTGAATAAGTTGTGAAACATGATTACATGCACCAATATTTTCAGCCCTCTTGAGCAGCTTTCCTGAAGGTGAAACCGGCTGAGCTGAACACCTATAGTAATGCAAGATCTGGAAGGAAGCTAGTATCTTAGTCAAAAGCATGGCTATGAATGACTTCAGTTGGCTGTTTTGTAGTAGAAATATGTCTATAATATATAATGATGATGAGATGGGATAGGATGGGATGGGATGGTGAGAATATTCAAATCACAGAAAGGGACAGCCATTTATGATCCAAGTTGACTGCCTCTATTCCTGACAGTAATATTGTACAAGTACAAGGATGACTGTGTGGTTGGTCCCTCCAAACATGTGTGAACCAATGTGTTGTATAACTGATCATGACCAATAACTTGAAAAAAAGACATACAAAATTTCAATCATTCTTTGATCTATGTATATCTTGGACTGATTTTGAGATATCTGTAGGCTGGAACACATTCTTACTGGCAATGAGACACTGTAAAATCAGTCTCAAAGACAATCAAAAACCCCAAAACATGAACCATTAATTGTTTTTGTTTTTGGTGCTATGCTGTACTTGAGGTGGAAATGTGCAATCTGCATACATACATAGTAGTCTTCTTGCAATAGAAGCTGTATTTTGTATAGCTGGCCTTGACCACACAGTCCTGCCATGGTACATATCCTCCACTTACTCTAGCCTCTCATGGCCAGTCAACAACATCTTGTATAGCATCTGATCTATAGAGAGAAGCACAAGGAAAATATAGTAGTCTTCTTGCAATAGAAGCTGTATTTTGTATAGCAGGCCTTGACCACACAGTCCTGCCATGGTACATATCCTCCACTTACTCTAGCCTCTCATGGCCAGTCAACAACATCTTGTATGGCATCTGATCTATAAAGAGAAGTACAAGGAAGAATGAATGCTCACTTTACACTTCTACTCATCACTAAACTTCTACCAATCATTTACATCTTTTTCTTCCCAGAAACGTATCATGTGAAAAAAGCTCCCCTCTGTCCTCCAGAAATAACACAGGTACTTGATTTCCTAGGGGAGGGGGGGGGGTGAATGAGACCTTGAATTTGATGATACAAAGTATGCAGGCCCTTGGGCTCTTATGCACCCAAGGCTTATCACCTTCAACCTTGAAGAAGCCACCAAAACCAATTTTTGATGAACACAATAAAGCTTCTTCCTTTGGAGCATAAAAAAGGACTCCGAGGTCAAACAATTAACCAACCACCCAGACTCGGCTAGCTGGCGGCCCTTGTTTGACTGCCATCCTACAGCGTATCTCTGACAAGAGTACCTTTCTGGATTGATTGTGTAGACAGTTGGTGCCTTCCAGCAACAGTGAAACAGATTCAATACAATACAGTATCTGCAGATCCTTTGGTATTGTATCTTTTTTCTGATACATCAAAAAATTTGCATTGTGTATTGTATCTGATTTCAGAGACAATACAATTGTATTGTATCAAAAAACCACTATACATTTTTTGGCCAATTTGGACTGTTTCCAACAAATATTTTGGAAGATACAAAAAGATACAGGATTGTATTTTTTTTTTGTATTTGGCTGTATTTATGACCAGATACCCGTATTTTGATCCATTTGTATAGTATCTGTTTTTGATACGATATTTGGAGAAAAACAGATACCAATACAAATAAATACAGATACAAGTATTGTATTGGTTTCACCGTTGCTTCCAGAAACACTCTGCGCTGGATCTTGTTCTCAAACTCTGGTCCTAACCAAATGCATACTCTGGTCAATGGATCTGCACACATTTCGGCGTTATGGACTCCGCACAGGAGCTTGGACTGGCATGCATACCTTCATGCAGTCTATACAGCACTAATACCGCTCGAGTGTCCTGCTTGTCAACTGTTGCCCATTTACATCTGGAATCCTCTTCATAACCTTTTTCCTCTCTCTCTTTTTTTTGAGATTTGAAGTGTTTTTGGTTCATGTTTTGCTAGCACTAAGATTTTAAGAAAAAGGAAAACCCTTTGGTTTTGGTTTTTGAATAAAAAAAGGAACAAAGAATGAGTTGCTTAAGGAAGATCATGAGGATGATTTGGGAGTGGAAGGGTTGAGTTCAGTCGAAGAAGAAGAGGAGAACGGCCAAAAGTTGAACAGTTTGGAGAAGATCGAGTGATTTGACGTAGAATTCGTTTGTGCTTCTTGTTGGAGTTGGAGTTGACGACGGTCTTGGTTCCATTGCTTGACTTTCTCGGCATGTTCAGCCCGTCTGAGTTTCTCGCTTGTCGCTTCGTTCTCTTGGATAGCTGAGACCTTCAACTAAAAAAGAAAAAACATTTTCAATATCTCGATCAGTTCTTTTTTTGCATAAACAATGAAGAAGTCAAACGGAAAAGAGACGAACCAGACGATTCCTCCAGTGGACCATGAGAGCCTCCTCGCGGAGCCATCTCTGTTTGAGCAACTGAGCTTTCCTGAGTCGTTGTGGGGTACGATGAGGGACCTGATCGGGGACGAGTTTGCGGATTTTCTTGTCTCTGCGAGCGCCCCAAATGTGGAGCTGAGCGACGCGGAGCTCGGCCTTAGCATGGCCGGTCTTATTGCCAATGATCGATTGGCCGCTGAGTTGGGCGGCTCTGAGAAGCAGCTGGCGGGCGGAGGTGTGGGTCAATCCGGTCGTCAACAGCTCGATGATGTAGCGCTTCAATCGACTATTGCTTGCTCCTTCGGGCGTGGATAACGAACGGTGGATGCTTCCGATCAGATAGTGCAACAGTTGCGTTAACTCCTCGTCCGCGACACTCGACGCTGGTACGACTCTTTTGGGCGCATGTAGGGACGCTTTTATCGTCGCCCGTCGTCCCGCCGTTCGCAGCTGCATCTTCTCCGCTAAGGGCGCTAGGGTCGAGGGATGTAATAGTAACTTCATAAAGATCTGGATCCACATCATAACATCATCAGTTTTTTTTTTCCTCCCGTCTTTTTTTTTTTCTCTGCTTGTTCTCGAGTGAAAGAGGCTAGCGGGTTGAGTATACCTGGATCGTCTCTTCTCGGATCGTCCCCATCACATTGAGTTCGTTCCTGACCCACTCCTCCACGACCTTGTTGAGCTGATTTTGGCCATCGATTCTGACTTGTTTGACTAGACGAAAGGCAGCATCGTTTCAGCCAGACGATCAGAAGAAGAAGAAGAAGAAGATAATGAGGAATGCTAACCAATGAGTGATTCCTCGGGAGAGAGGGAGTTGGTATCATTTGCGAGTTTCTTAGTGAGGACAGGATCGAGCGCAGGATGGGGGATGAGGATGGGGAAGGCGGTGGCTTCGTCTGGCTTGATGGGCTGGGTTCCTGCTCCGACGAGGTTGGTGGTGGGCAGATATGGGTTGTTGTGCTCGAATGCTGGGCGACGTGGGGGTGGATGGATGGTGGTGGTGGGCTTGAGTTTCTGTCGTGCTTGGTGTGTTGCTGTGCTGGTGGTGAATGTCCTGGTGGTGAGTGTTCTCATTGTGTTGGTTGTTGTTGTTTTTTGGTTTTTGTTGTTTTTGTTGTTTTTGGTGGAGGTGGTTGTTGTTGGTTCAGAGGCTAGGAAGGAAACTGAAACCCATCAACACCACTCCAGAACCACCAAGATGTTACGAACCATCCTGAGACCATCAACAAGCACATTCCACAACAAGAACCCACTGCAACTCATTCTCCTCAACAGCAGAAGAAGACAGCCATACTCTGTCCAACAACAACCGCAACCACCAACAAATCCAACGGTTATCAGCCAATACCGAGACCGACAACAGGCCGAGTTCCGAGCGCGGAACCGGAGTCTGTTACTCTATGCGATCTCGATAGGCGTGGTGACCTTAGGACTATCGTATGCGGCGGTGCCGTTATACCGAGCATTCTGTTCGGCCACCGGATACAACGGCACCCCATCCACATCCTCCTCTAGAGACGGCACCGGCAAATTCGCCCCCGACCGGATCGCCCAGCCCGTCGGCCAGAAAACTATCACCGTCCGCTTCAACGCCGATAAGAGCGATACCCTCGATTGGAAGTTCTGGCCCTGTCAGAAATCGTTGACCGTCAAACCCGGCGAAACCGTCCTGGCTTTCTATAAAGCTAAAAACTTATCCGACCATGATCTCTTAGGCGTCGCTACTTATAACGTCACCCCTGGCCAAGTACATCCTCATCATCATCTACTTGCTTGCCTCCAGTTTCAAGCTAACTTGGCGGTTATTTTATTAACAGGTCGCCCCGTATTTCGCCAAGGTAGAATGTTTTTGCTTCGACGAGCAACGCTTATTGGCGGGCGAAGAAGTGGACCTGCCGATCTTCTTCTTCATCGACAAGGATTTCGTCGAGGATCCGTTGATGAAAGACATCGATGATATTGTGCTCAGTTACACCTTCTTGTTGAGTCCCTCTCTCTTGATTTTTTTTTTTTTTTTTTTCAAAACAAAAAAAAGCAAGGATAAGGTGTTGATTAGTTTGGTTTTTTTTAGCAAGGCGAAACGGAATTCGTATGGCTTTCTAGAGCCTGATATCCCAGCAAACAGTCCCCACCTATCTGGTTTTGGTAATCATCCTACTGCTGCTCCTGCTACTCCTTCACCACACATCCGACCTTCGAATCCTACAAATAACACCACCAGCACCCTCACCAAACCTTAACACTTGCCTTTTTTTGACCTTCATGTATTACATCTACATCAAATATACCCTTAACCATCCTACAAAAAAACTACAAAAAACTACAAAAAACAGTTTCCTTTTTGGAGTTCTTGTCTGTTCTTCTTCCTCATCACTCACACTTGATGTACTATATTCTTTCATTCTTCCTTCCTTTCTCTTGCACTCACAAATCAAAATCAACCATGATTGCGAGAAAAAAAAACCATTCCAACTCATCTCCCTTTGTACTTTGGCAGCAGCAGCATATGACAATGATGATAATGATGATGGCCATGTAGATACAGCCACACATAAATACTCTCTGCCAGCTCAACCTACGTTCCCATCTTATTTATGATATATATACAGGTCTGTCATTCTTCGTTTCAATCAACAGATCTGCCAGGAGGCCAAGCAGAGCAGCGAACATCCCCCCCAAAAAAAAAAAACACACATCTTACACAAATTGTCTTTTCTTTTTTTTTTGAAGAGGGGTAGGAGGGTGCTTTCATTGAAAGGTTCAAAACACTGATCCACAAAAAGTATGTAAACAGTGAAAAGCTTGCAACATGATGAAAACCAGGATCTAGGAAAAGAACCCAATTTCTCTGCAAGAAAGCACTGGAAATCAAACTGAGGGATGGGCAGCAACTATGGCCCATTCAATCTGTGGTCTTTTCCACGAAGCTTGGACCATTCAATCACACTTTTTTTAAGTACATCATAATAACATCTGCAGAACCTTTTTTGCTTGAGGTTTTTCTGCCCTACAGTATCCCCACCTTTTGTGTCCCCATTACCTGCTAGCTTAACACAAGCCCATCAATTTGGTGGGCCTGGCTGGCCCAAGAAAGCCTTGCAAAGTGAGCCCCCAAAGGAGGGGCTTGCATTTTATATCAGACTTTTTGCCCAAGCACCTGCAGGCTGAGGCCATTTGGTGGTAACTTTGTCCCATCCCATTTTTAATTATTTTTGCCTAAAGCAAAAATGATGGCCTTTGGACCAAGAGACTCATCTGATCTTTGTGCATCTTTTGGTGCAGTTCCTGTGGCCTAACTGCTATCCATTCTTAGTGTACAACACCTCAAACATCTGGGATTTCAGGTTCCATTGCCTGTATTAATGTAGGACATATTTCCACCTTGGCGGGTGTGAGTCACATCCTGGCTTCATTTTGGCCAAGCAAGGCTTTGCCTCAAACCCTGCATAATTTGAAAGGTGCAAAGCAGACTCGCAGAGGTTGTAACGGTGCAGCATGTGCTTTGTACTTGGCCAAGCGGGCTTGACAGTTGGCCCAGCATGCTTGGCTATCTTACTGCCCAAATTTTTGGGTCCCAGATGGGCTTTCAAAACCATATATATTGTATTTGGAATTTTTAATTTATTAAGAGAATACTTTGCTTCTTGGCATACAACCATATAATCCAAAGCACATTATTGGAGGACTTCCCGTCGCCATTTAGAGTGCTTTTTAAGCCCTCCCCAGTCTAAAATTAACACCCCAATCATGATTCCAACCAGCTCATGTGAGAGGTATCATCACCAGGCTTGCAAAAAAACAATTTTTTACACCAAAAATTAAGATCTTGGGGGTGTAAATTCAATTCTGGGAGGGTTGTAAACCGCGACGGGAAGACATCCATTCAATGCATAAATTTTCAATTTATCACATTTGTTTTTATAAAATAACAATCTATTCAGTAAATTCTTTTGATTGGTTGGACTATGGTGTGATATAGGAGGCAATAATTATTGACAATAAGAATATCATTGATGAACACCTTTATAAGTGTGTCACTTGTCTTAGACACTGTAGGCAAAGGAAATCAAGAAGGGATCAGTGGTAGCAGAATTCTCAATTGTTTTTTTCAATTTAAGTTTGGCCTTTGAAATATCTCCTTCAAATTCAAGTTTCAGTTCCCTTAATACATAGCCAATAAGAAGATCTGTGTTTTCCAAAATAGTAGATGAGAACACTTTCTGATGTTTAAAAATGATGAGCTGAAAGTACTTTGAAATCATCAAAATTTCCTTGCAAAGTATCTTTATCTGGTTCTCCACTTCCGATTCCAAACTCTTGACACACTCAAGATTTATTGAGCCTTCAAATTCAGCTATTTGTCTATCAAAATAATTCTTGATAATGCTTATATCATTATAGAGCTTGATTTTGGATGAAGTTAAATCAATTTTTTCCTTGAGAGGTGATCCTTTGTGAATTTCCAGAATAACATTTGGATAATTATCCTCTATAAATTCAAGAAGATAATAAGATCCTATTTGGTAACTGTCTGCAGAAAGTGGGAGTTCATTATCTTGGAATGTATTGATAAACATTTGTAACATTTCCTTAATTTCCTTGAAATTGAAGTCTTCAGTTGAAAGAACCTCTGTTTCATCTCTTGGGTTGAGGTCAGTTCCACCATATTCCTCCAGGGTCATGAACAGGAGATCGTTTTCAAAGATTTTTTCACAAGAGAGCTTGAACTCATCAGCAGTTAATCTGTATGTGAAAAACGCTTTGAGGCATAAATATTTTGTGTATCTGAGTTTCTTTCCCTCAAGAACTTCAGTTTTCAAAAAGGTTTGTGTTCCAAATAAAAATAGAAAATAAAATTTCAGTAACATGCAATAAAACCCAAATAATCAAATATTGTTTCAATTCTTTACCTTCAAATAAGCTCATGTAGTGTGAAAAATCATAGGTGGGAATGGTTTTGATGGTGGGGTATTGACTGACATACATGGTGTTTGAGAGATAATCTTCAGATACATGATTATAGATCATGCTGATGGCAGCAATTTCCAATGTGTCATTGTCTTTATAAAATAGCCTCATTTCTTGCTTACTTATCATGTTATTTCTGTACATATAATCAACTGTTTGGATTATATTGTGATGTAGATTCACAATGATTTCTTCACTCCAATCTAGATAAATCTTTTCTCCTATTTTGAATGAACCAACTTGGTGTAAAATTTCTTTTAGCCAGGAAGTCTGACTTTCAAAAATCTTTTTCCTTATTGATTCAACCATATCTTGACCCAAACTGCTTGCTGGGAAATAATCTTCAAATCCTTCAGAGCCAGAACTTGGTTTTATCTTATGCTCCAATTCAAAATTGGAATCATAGTTTCTTTGAAAGATCAGAGGAAGATATTTTTGAGATTCTTTAATGATTTCAATAATTTTTTTCCATTCAAAAGAAGCATATTCAATCACTTTCAAAAATTTTGAAGTCCCCTGTCTTACTTGAAGTTTAGAATTTTGGCTTTGTGGCTTCAAATCATCCATTTCTATTGTGATTTTATCTGACTTCTTGTCTTTTGATTTGTGTATTCTGTACTGTATCTCATCCAAAATCAGATCATGGAAAGATTCCAATTTTTCAATGTTTTCAATTAAATCTCTATTCTCTTTCATGTCTTGATTTTGCAATGGTATTCTTTCATAAAATGTGCCTTTTGTTTTAGCCAAGCTTTTTTTCATCAAAATAAAATCATCCCGGAATGAATTTGCTTTACCTTGATATTTATTTCAAGTTGCAATTTCCAAAAACCCACATATTTTATTAGTTCAAGATAGACATGAAGAGTAAATAAAAGGTCATTTAGGATCCAAATTGTCTAAATTTCAATATTCAAGGCTTGAACTCACTCATATCAGAGAAAAGAGTGTCTTGTTTATACAGTGGATTGATATTTTCTATATATGCCTTCAGTTCTAATTCTGATATCTCTGGCAGTATCACTGAAGACCCTTTATCTGAAGCTTTAGCCTCTCTGTCTGAAATTCCAAAGGAGGAAACTGAATTGGGCATATTCCTGATTGTTTCAACATGGTGTTCTGTTTTTTTTTGTGCAAATAAATTAGGATCAGTTGTAATATAAAAATGTAGAGATGGCCACATGGATTGGAGGAAACTCACCAATGGCATCCATGGATTCAATTCTTTGCAAGAAACTGGATATGACTAACAGTCCTATGTGATAGTATTCTAAGTAAATATTCATTGTTGGGTTTTCAATGTCAGAAAATTTGTGTAAATTTTGAATGAGGATAATGTGATTAGGAACAAAGTTGATTACAAATGATATAATTTTGTTCTGACAGTATGCAATCTAGGCACTGGCACCTTTTTGTGATCTGACACCTATTTTGGAGTCAACCAAACAAGTTTTAAAACAGGTTTTTGTAATAGCATGGCACCAGCGGTATGAGTAAGGCCTACTCTTGAGACTGGTCAGAGTGTCATTCTTAAATACTTAAATACTTGAATACATAAACATGAATGTACAAATTTTGATTCATCAAATTTTCCAGTGTCTAAAACTTGAAAGAATGGTTTCAGATAACCTTGCTTTTCCTCCATCTTCAACTTCTTCATATTGATAATTGCTGTACTATGGGTGAGCGAACTCCACATTTGGAGTAGCAGGAGTTCAAGAGGTGGAGCGGAGAAGAGCAATGAAAACCAGGCATTTTAGACCACAACAGATTAAGAGACGACTGTTCTCCAATTCGCTAGCCTTTTCGATTACACTTTTCGGCACCGGCATCGCCTTTGTTGTATGGTAAACCCTCGCAAAAACAACCCAAACCTCCAAAGACCACTTCCCCCACCGACCCGAGCGAAACGGCCAAGACAAACGATTGTACGGGTGAGCAAACTCCACATTTGGTGTAGCAGGAGTTCAAGAGGTGGAGCGGGGAAGAGCAATGAAAACCAGGCATTTCAGACCGCAACAATAATATTGATCTTATTATCTTTGATTGGCTTCATCAGTCATCCTCTCCACAATCTTCTAATCATGGATAGGATCTCATCCCGATCAGATGGTCACTTCACCATCTGACAATGGTAGGGGACCCTCCTGATGAGATGATTATACAACCAACCACCATGTCAGGGGTTTTCCTCTCAGAAATATGTGTGTAAAACTATCTTGTTGGGAGGTTGCAATCCCAGCAAGATGTTTGCATGAAAAAGCTAGACAAAAGAGCTTTCTCCCAGGAGATAAAGAGAGGTGGAATGGTTCTATTACAGCTTTCTTAGTCGTTCCATCTTATGTTTCTTGAACTTGATCTGTTCATATTTTGCTATGGTGATTTGACCTGGTATAAGTTTGGAGGTCTGAATTTGGTGCACATGCAGTTTAGCACAAGTTCCGCTAAGAAAGCCACCACCCAAGATAAGCCTTCAGTAACTCCAGGTGAAAATATGAGAAACCATTGGCCTGGGAACCTCTCTGTAGCATGGAACGCGCCGATCAGCTTCAGCACAGCACAAATTTTAACAATTTGCCTATGTTTTTTTTGGCGTGCTTGTTAAGTTGCTTGGATTGAGAATCAGGAATAATGCCTGAATACAACAGACTCATGCGTTTGTGTATCTCGAAAGAAAAGAATTGTTTCCAAAACGAGGTTCTCAGTCAAGGAGTGAATCGTCTCACACAGAGCTGTTGGAACTCGATCTAACTACCAACTCGAACTCGTAACACAACTGTGTTGTTCTTTTTTTTGGTTTCGTGAAGATAGATTCCACCTGTCTCCGGGGAACACGAGTTCATCCTTCTTTAAATTCGCATGGAAATAAACATAAATTGGAGTGTTTGAGTTTGAGTTTTTTGCTCCTTGACCAGAAATGTTCATGAGGGGGAGGACAGGCCGCGTAATCATGTGCTGTCTGGTCAATCAGACGATTGGGTGACAAAGCTGTAATCTAAAATTATGGATTCATGGTTAGGAAAGATATTCGGACATATTTATGTTTGGTAAACAAACAGCTCTTCAGACCACGGAGGTTTTTTGACTGGATCATGGCAGCCAATCCAATAAACCGCGGTCGATGAAGACAAAAGCGTATATCAACAAAAAAATTTCTTTGCAAGAAAATTAGGATAAGGATAAGGAGGGAAGTTACACAAACCATACACCCGTATGGTTTCAAGTGGGCCAATATTTTTTATGGCATCAGTCTCATGTGAGACCAGAAGGTTAAAGTAGGTGTTTTCCCGAGACATTCTTCCACTTCACAGCATACTCGTCTTCACTGATAATAAAAATTAAGCAATGACCTGCATTCACCACCCCAGACTCAAGCGTTTGCCCCCAGGTGTTGCCAGTTTTCATTCAGCATTTAAATAATCGCTTCTCAACCGCACCTCCCGGTTTGATGAGACACTAATGCAGGCCCACCTTGTGATCTCGATAGCTCTGCCTGAAGAGGAAGAAAACAGCAAGAGGATCATGATTATTGTCTCGGAATTCTTTCTCGGCCTGATAAGCATCTTACTATCCCCATCCTCATCTGACTTGATTGTGCTTGCTGGAAAACGACGAAACCGGTCAGCTAAGAGCTCAGTACCGCCCCAAGGTAATCCTTGTCATATTACGGACCAGTTCCCCGTCTCCAACGATTTCAGCATGATGGGCGGGTGCGTCGTGGTCTAATTCCATTCAAGGTATGCTTGGCATCGCTCAGCGGTGGTTTCATCTTTTCTGTTAAGGGCGCTTTGTATACTAAACACCACCAAACATCCTCCGCTATCAGCCGGTGTAGTGGTCCGCTATCGAAGGCTCCCACATTCGCACTTCCCCAACCGATATCCATACCGCTTTCGAGATTCTGGCATAGTTTTTAGTATTCATATTACCTGCTTTAGAACAATAATCCCTCCATCATGACGCCCTTACCCCCCCCCCGCACATACAAACTTTGTAAAACAATAAAATCACAGGATTTCTACCCCCCTCCCCTCCAGCAAAAAAAGATTCCCAATCCTACCTGTTTTTTTCTTGTTTAATGCCAAAAAGAAACCCAAATGAAAATCTTGCTACATTTCACTTCTAATAAACCAAGGACAATTTTGATTTTACTTTTTCTTATCTGCTTACTGATTTGTCTTATTGTTTTGAAAATCATTCTCTTTCTTACTTAATGAATCAGGCTGAAATTATGCTGAAGGATCCTGGATATCAACTACCCCTAGTTTTGAAGACCAAAGTACACCAAACTATGATTCTCAATGGTGGATTTGAGTAGATTGTAGTGAAACATATTGGCACTAAGACTTCTGGGTTTTCCCAGTATTTTTGGGTATTGATTGAGCCAAGAAAGATTTGTACTTAGTGTTGTAAGGTAAGAATTTTTGACCTGCTAACAACAGTGAAAAAATGCAATGTGATGTGATAAATAGCCGCTAACAACAGTGAAACAATGCAATGTGATGTGATAGATAGCCATGTATCAGCATCACATTGTGTTAGCAATGCATCACATCAAAAAAGAGACACATTGAATCAGCATTGAATTGGATGCAGCTAATGCATCACATTGCATTACTGAATCAATGCAATGCCAATGCTCCACATCAAAAAATTCAATTCAATGTGGTGCCCCCGCATTGCTCCCTTGATGCAATGCCTATGCATGCATCACATCAGTTACACTGTTCCTGCCCAATTGCCATCCCAAGAGCCACTTCTTCATGTTCAAAAAGTTCAATCACTGAGTTGAATCAGAAAATCTGAGAGAAATGCCCATAAAAAAAGGAAAGAAGAGACAAGGGGGAAGGGAAGAGGCAAAAAAGGAGGGTATAAGGAGGCAAGATGTGGATGTGGAGAGAATTTGTCTCCTTTTTGCATAATAGTATTGACTGGATAAAACACATACAAACAATAAAATGTTGAAGCACTTCCCATGACAAGCTTACCTAAGCTTCTTGTGGTGAGAGTTCCATGCAGACAGGTCTGTCCAGAAGCCCAGTCTCACCAGGGAGACTTATGCATGAAAACACAAAGTTGTCCTGAGCAAGTCATGATTTGGAGGCAATGATGGGCCAGCTACACTAACTTTAGCATAGCAAAAATATGCTACATTTTAGTGTAGTCTTAGTGCAGATGCACATACTGTGCTAACACTACATGCACAGGGAGCAAGAATGCACTCAATTATAGCGGGGTTGTGCATGTCTGCGCTGACACTAAATGCACAAGGCGCAAAAAAGCACCTGCTACAGCACTTTTTAGCAGATTTTAGCCTTTTTTGCCTCTAAAAGCACTGTAGCATTGCACTAACACTAAACAGAAGAAAGTCCCCTTTTAACGCCACTGCAGCGTAGCAGCGATGGAGGTGCGCTAACACTACACAAAAATAGGCCACATTTAGCGCCACGACACTAACACTATGTCACATGTGGCCCTGTAGCACAGTGTAGCATCCCATTGCTGTTGGAGGCCTGTTTTTGTACTTTTACCTCTGGCTTCCATGTCATTCTTGCCAAAATCTTGCCACCCTATTTTTCTTGTTCTCTGCCATCTTGTTGATCTCTCTGTATTTTTTTTATGTTTATTTGTATTTCCAATTCAATTTTTTTTTTCAAAAAAAGGCAAATTCTTATTTTGCAGGCAGAATGACAATCACATGATATGCTGATACTGAGATTGCACTCAAGCCTCTCTGCCAAATTTGCAAATCAAAGTTCAAAATCATAAACTTGATTGGAAGTTTTCTAATAGAACAAAACAAGCTTTTAGAATTAAAAAAAAGTTCAAGATTATGCAGATCTTCCATCTACTAGAATCAAACATAATTTTGAGTTACAATAAATGAGTGGAGGGGCAAATAAGGTTGCCACCACCAAAACTGCGTTTCTGAGTAATGCCAGTAAAACATGTTAGCATGAAAGTTCTTTGTGCCCAGCCAGTTACACCAGGCTCAGCAAGCCTCCTGCCAGGGGGACTTGTGTTAGTTCATTCCCGTGGCCAGGCTTCTGAAAAAAAATGTTGCTCTGCCAAAATTGAAGATCTGAGTGGTGTGAATTGAATTCTGCAGGAAGTCATCCACTGTCAACCAAACATTGCCAATACATATTAGGGGGGTTCACGATTGAACTTTAGAGCCATTTCTATGGTGTTTGTGAGCAACATCTTATTTTGTTTGAATTTTCCATATTCATTGGATGACTTCCTGTCAACATCTGTGGGTCTCCCAGAGCTGGTTTAGAGCCTCAAAATTCAAATGCCTCTGCAAGAATCAAAAGTTTCGGGGTCTAGATTGACTTCTGCAAGGGTCCCAGATCTGACAGGAAGTCCTCTATTGGTTTTTGAACTTTCTGCACATCCCAAAAAAGTCACAATTTTATTATCAGAAACACCTTAAAAATGGCTCTGAAGTTGAATCATGAACCCCCATATTATTATCTTCTCTATCCACTGAATTGGTATAAAAAGCACCCAGAAAGTAAGGACAACAATTATTTCAAAAAAAAGACTGTTTTGTTTGTTACACTTGACTTGCTCTCAGAGTCTATCTCTCCCAAATAAGAAGCATGTTACTATTTGGTGTGTATATTCTATTTTTTCCCATCTCCATCAAGTACAAACAAACAAACATAAGCCATTTTTTTCTGATTAAAAAAAATAGGAAAAAATGGTTTAACAGAAAGAGGAGAATATTAGAGATGGGTAAATTAAGTATAAAGAGTTAGCCTTTGACAGGCCCCTCGTAAGTGAGTGCAACTCTTTTCTTTTTTTTCTGTGGAAGGCCGTCTGTAGCAGAGTCGGGTTGAGCGATGGTAGCCGAAGGGACTGCAGAAAGATTGCCGACACCGACCTCACCAGCGTCGCCTTTAGTGAACTGCTTGGAAGTACTACCAATTGTATTACTACTATTCTGGTCACCAACACGAGCACTGATCGGGACAGGGGTGACTGGATGAGTGGCCGAGATGATCTCTTCTTCCTCCTTTCTAACCATGTTCCTCAAGAACTTCGCAGGCAAATGTTCTTGTACTTCTTCTTCTGTCAGCCGGTCGCCCAACTCGCCCTTATCGAAGATCACTAGGGAACAATACCCATCGCTTGAACTCAACACTAACGTCTCACCATCGTTAGTCCTTTGTTTTAGTTTGTGGATCAAAATGTCATCAGAACACGACTGAAAACGTTGATGGGGATGATATTTAGTTTGAACTTACCAAGACAAGTCTGTAAAGCTTGAGAAATGTAGGTTGTTAAATAAGCAGATAGGGGACGATTGTTGGGTGTCATAAATGTAAACAGTATCGTGGGTAGCGACGGCGTAGATCATGCGGTAAGGCAAATCGAATACCGCGACCGGATCATCACCTGACTTAGGAGCCTGTTGCTGATGGTGGTGTTGATGATGAGATGAGAGTTTGTTCAAATCGATTTCCTGCATGGGAGATCCATGAGCCAATTCTACTTGAAGGGGAGGAGGGTTCTGCTGGCTAGACTTCTTTGACCCGCCGGCCGATTTGAGTGCCTTCAAGCGATAGATGACCGGCGAAAAACGGATGGCTACACTGCTACTCTTGTGCCCCGGTAATCGTGCCAGAGGCTGGCATGCTTGGGTATTGCCACTACTCGCACTTATCGCCCCTCTGCCGTAGATGAACACCGTTGGACTCTCTTTTCCAGGATCTTGTCCACCAGCCTGATCGGCTTCATCATCCGATTCAACAATCAAGTCATTCGTGGCTGTCCGTCGTCTTCGGCGTTTCTTGGCCGACGTTTCGCCACTAACTCCTCGCTCGATCTCCTTGCCTTTGCCTTTGCCATTGCTACCCTTTCTTTCAGTTTCAGATTTCGTAAACCGATTCTCCCATCTTCCTGCCGGTGTGATTAACGTCGAACCATCATTGCTCCAAGTCAGCCTTCTGAAGAACGCACTGGCACCCTCATCGCCGTACAGCAATACCGAGCTACTCCTCTTCTCCTCATTGACATGAATTGCGGGTAGTGGAGGGACTGGTGATGGGGATCGGATGGGCCGGCTGGAAGGTGACATTGCTTGACTGGAAACCACAGATGACTGTCTAGAATTGGATAGATTGCGAACATGGGGGGTGGATATTGAGCTCAAACTAGTATGACGTGGGATCTCGCTTGGTGGCTGCATGCTAGAGTCTTCGTTGAACAGAGTACTCGCCGCTGTGCTTGGGGTGGGTGGAGCCGAAGGTACCCGATTACTTGAACTGACTTGCGGAGATGGAAGATGAGACGGCGATTCAGGGACGTTGGATGTATTTGATACCGTTCGAGGAGGCGGTTTAGGCTTGGGGGTCTGAGCAGAGGCGACAGAGGTAGGCGCGGAGGTATCGCTGCGGGTGTCGAAACTTGTACTTGTAGCGAGTGATCGAGCACTGGAGGGGTGAATGTCATCCCTCTCGTGATGGAGATTTGGAAAGCTACTCCAGGAACTAGTTTGTTGATTTAAAAGATCGATTTTGTAATTTTTTGCAACATGGTGGATCTCCGCCGTCGCTGAACCACTTTCTTCCTTATTCAGTTGAACCGAATATACGTTCATCGAACTGTTAAAAAAAGTTAAAAGGTACCAAACAAATTAAAACACGAAAATACCAAGTGTGAGAGGACAGGAGCCAAAACTTCCAAAATAAACCTACCGGTCACTACTCTGAGTGGCGATGTATTCGCCCAACGGATCCCACGCGACACCTTGAACAAAGTTTGAGTGTTCGGCTATTTGTTTGATGCAGGAGCCTAAAATCATGGCCCGACGCGTCATTACACGCTATGTAGGCACAAACAGAACCATTAAAAAACATGGACGGACCATCTGTGACATTCCAAATTCGCGCCGTCTTGGCGGTATCGCCAGTCAAAATGAAATCCCCACATGGCGACCACGCCAGATCATAAATTTCGCACTGAGCTGGTCCGCTGAAAAAAAAAGGAATTTTAAAATTTTAAAACGTTGATCAACAATAAAGATGCAATGAGTTGGGTGTGCTCACCGGAGCATCAATCTTGTTCTCCAGCTCTCTCGTTCATAAGCCTTGTCAGCAGCCGACTCGCCAAAAGCAGTAGGGATCGGGTTGGTGGAGAGCACCCAGAGCAATACGTTCCCATCTGTGATAGAGTTTGTCAGTCAAACTGAAGCCAATAATGCGATGTTTAGTGACACATGGTCAATTGGCAAGCGGGGGTGTAATATCCCCCCTTGAGATAAGAACGTGGAGAAATGAGATTTATGTTCAGTCTCAATCAAGAAGCTTACTCACCATCACCAGCCGAGGCCAACATTTCAGCTGAATCAAATTGGACATGTAAAACATGTTTCAGAATACATCACAACGTAGAGGGCAAATTTAGGAATTTGGATTCAACGTACCTCTGGGGCAAAACCTGACGACGTTGACGACGCCTTGATGCTTGGTAAGAGTTGCAAGGTATTCGACAATTGGAGGGTGGTTATGCTTGTGATCGAGGAATGATTTTGGATCGAGTGTGGGTGGTGTGGGTTGACCGGTTGATTGGTAAGCATTCCTGTGTTGGTTAACTTGTGCCATCGTTGGTTTAGGATAAACGAGCCACATCTAAAGAGATTTATAACATTCCACCATTAGCCTCCTCAATAGCCGACTAATAGCACGTGTTTCAAAGACAAAACAATCAGGATCGAGGTACAGACCATGACCAGGTTATCACCCCCAGCAGTCGCTAGTCTCCAAACTTGACCGCATCCAATCTCAGACTCCAGTTGTTGTACCTGTTTGTCAAGTTCAGATTGTAGGTAAGGATGAGACCTATTGGGTATGAGTGAGTTCAGGTTCGAGGGTGGTATGGTCTGGAAGTCGGTGGAATAGATTGGCTTGGTGTTATGCCATCTGATCTCGATTGCCTTGGCCTTCATGATGATGATGATGTCCTTCTTGATGGGTCAGATGTAGTTGTTTGGAAACGGTCAACAGACAAGTTCAGTCTGTTATCGAGAATCGAGATCGCATTTAGCGCATGTTTTGGACTTTCTGCCCTGATTTTCTGCCCAAGTCAGTTTTGGACTCACCCCTAAGGGAGATCTCCCAAAGAAAACTCATCAGGCCACATAAATATGAAAGCTTGTGAGACCTCAATATAGTTTTAATATCAAAATTGGGATACCGCTTTGTGTGCCTCAAGAGGATGACCAGTTCCCCTGAATTCCATTTCACCTAGGGGTGGTAACATATTCAACTGCAACCCCATCACAGAAGCCTCTATACCTTGCCTTCTCCAAAACTCCATAATATTGGCCTGATATAGATGAGAAGATTTGTGATATCTGAATATATAGCCACTCCTCCAACACCCCCTGCAAATTTTTGAAGGAGATTCTTTAAATTTTCCATTTGATTTGATATTTTTATGCTAAGGCCTTGGCTGAACAAATTGCAGGAATTGGGGGGGGGGAATAAGAGCATTGAAATAATAATAAAAAATAAAAATCCCCGGTCGAATACCCAGGGCAGTGGCCAGGAAAATTCCTCCCGGCCGCTGAGGTACACTCTCAACGGCTGGGAGCTGACCCCTTGGCCATGAGAGTGTACACCTCAATGGCCGAGAGGAATCCTCTCGGCCATCAAGGGTACATGTACACTCTCAACGGCCAATGGAAACTGCCTCAGCCGTTGAGGTGTACACACCTCAGCAACCGAGACGGTTCCCCTCGGCGTTGAGGGTACACACTCTCAACGGCCGATGGAAACCGTCTCGGCTGTTGAGGTGTACACAACTGTTGAGTTTTCAAGTGACACCTCGCACCAGACTTGCATGCACATCCGCAGCAGCATGGTGAGACAGGCAAACTCGACCGAACAGCGGTTCTCCTATAAGAAAAAGACAATCGGCACCGGTTGCTTGCTCCTTAGACTCGACAAGCTTTGTGTTCTCATTTTCCGATCAAGACTCAAGACTAGAATCAAGATCGCTCATCAAAAGACCTGAAACGGTAAAGTTCGAATCACTCTTATCGTCATGCTCAAACGATCTGACCTCTCTCGTCTCAATTTCATCCGCCTTCAAGTTTGACCCGCAAATATCAATCCGGCTTCCTCAGGCAATTCTTATCATTCAGCAACCAGTTCACTGTAGTGATGTTTGTTATTCTTTTTCTCTTTCTTCATCTTTCTCTGGTGCTTAATTCTTTGTTTGTTGAGGAAATCACTGATCTTTCTTTCATTAACTTGTCGCTTCTGCCTCATGTTCTTTTTTATTTTCTCAGACTGTGCTATATTTTGTCCTCTTCTTACTTCTAAAAAAGACCTCCACGTTGTAAGACTCAAAAGTGGTTGTGAAACCCTTTTGCTGAATGGAGAAGGGTATGTTGGAGTTGCAAGCTCTGCCCTTCTATACTATCAGAATAACAAGACCACCAAGCTTAGCTTGGCAATTTTATATATAGTGATAGGGATAAGTTCGAGATGAAGCTGCTGATTGATATGTGTGAGGGTATAAAGATGTTGTTGACTGTTGGTTATATTGATGAAGTTGTTGTTGATGAATATGGTTCAGGGCACTTTTGGTTTATGAAGATGATAAAAGTGTTAAATCTGTATTTCAATGTATATAATTCTGAAATTGTAATGTGGCTATGACTTGTAGTTATGAAATAATATATAAGGTGGATTTATTTATAAGAGTGGTTGAGATGATCTGGTCCACTGGTGGGATGATGGAGGGAACAACTGGCAGGCAGAGGCCTCCTTATATAGACAAATGTGAGGGATTTTGGCCCCAGGGTACAGGCTGAAAGATACTACTACAAAGGGATGCATATGAATGAATAAAGGGATGCATATGTACTGAGTCAAAGGGATGCATATGTATGAATAAAGGGATGC